GCATGCAAGCACTCACCACCACCTACTGCTCCACTACCGGGAACGCATTAGCAGGAGGGTCGGCTATCCGGATCGAGCGCGACCCGCAAGGCATGGAAGGGTGATTGCGTGATAGCCATGCAAATACCGCGACCGATGCTGCGTGTATGTACAGTATGTGACTGTGACTGCGATGATTGGCGACGAGCGGAGAATGGCAGCACGTTTGAGGCTCGCCAGACCGTCGAGGCGTGTTGTGGTTGTGGAGAATCGCAACGGGGCGGCGGGCGAGACGCTGATCCGCCATCGCGCTCTAATTTGGCCCGACAGTTGTCAGTCGTGTGTGTCGAGCCGGGGCTCGTATTCGAAGTGCCCGTAGAGATACCAGCTCCCGCTGATCAACTTGCATGGGCATCCCTCGGCTTGGATAATCGCTTACGTATGCGCAGCATTCGTCAGTAGCACCGTTTGGCCACCAAATCGCCATCATTACGCTCATCAAGTTCATGCTTGCTCGACAGCAAGCTATACAAGGCGTTCCCCCAGCACTCCTCTGCAACGCTTCACCTCTCGTTTAGGCAAGGTTGCCACCATCCTTGTCAGCGCGTTGATCGTAGCCTCATTGGAGGATTCTCACGTCACCCAGTCCAACGTCATCACGTTCTCTTCACCATGCCGTCAGAGACTATCGTGATCCCGGAGAGGCTTCCAGTGCTGCCGCTCCCATACCCACTCGTGCTGCATCCCTCCCTCTTGCTCTCTATTCCACTCTCTTACGCGCACTCGTTGAGCCTGCTCAAGGCTGCTCTGCAAGTTGGCTCCGATGAGGCGAGCGATGCGTCGTCAAGCAGCAAGGATGGCGAAGCAACACGACCCATCGTCGTGGCTTGCGTTCCCACCATGCGTGTTCCAGCAGGAGCTTCGAGCAATCCAGCCAAGCCCTCCACTACGAGGTCGGTGATGCCCAAAGACGAGGCCAATGATCCGCGAGTCCGCATCAACGATCTGTACGACTGGGGAGTCGCTGCTAAGCTCGTCAGGCTCACTCGCCACCCGGCCAGTCAGACTTGCACCCTCGTCGTCACTGGTGTAACTCGAGTCCGGATTGACAGGTGGCTCAGCGTACGTGCCCCGCTCACCAGCACCAAGCTCGATCGCAACATCACGGTTCCCGATGTGCCTGTCCCATTGGCGGCCATCACTGGCTTTGCCGACGGAGGCCCCTTCCCTCCCTTGACTGGCGCGACTGAGAACGACATGGACGCGGTCAGGGCTTTGCGTGCGGCAGCAGACGAGCTTCTCGAGAGTCTTTCTGCTCTTGGTGCGGCGCCTTCGGTCAAGAACCAAGGGCAGGATAACGCTTTGCCACCTGCCCTACCACTTCTTCCTTCTGGTCTTCTCAGGCGCGTGCGGGCCTTCGTCAAAGAGTCTCGAGAAGGTCAAGCTGGCATGCTAGCTGATGTGCTGGTCGGCACTCTTGGAGGCGCTTGCGAGTGGTCGCAGCGAGTCAATGTTTTGGGCGAGTGGGAACCACGTTACCGAGTCAAGGCAGCTGCTAGCGCCCTATCAGCAGGCGCGGCGAGGGTCAGACTGGCGCGAGAGCTGCTGGCTTCCCTTGCCGCCCCTCTCAGTAGCAACACCAAGGAATCGCTCGTGCGAACTCAACTCGAGTCTTTGCTCGCACAGCTTGCTGCGCTCAACCCCAACACTACGGCTCGCATCAGCACTGGCACGAATAGCTTCAGCATTGGTCCTGCAAACAGGAGCGACACCGGCAGTAGCGGCAAAGACAACAACGGTAGCAGCAGCAACCCTAATAACAGCAATGCCATCATCACTATTCGAGCTCCTTCAAGACCCAACGACGGCATGCCTCGCAGTGCGCCTGGTGCTCGAAGCGTCGGTGGAGGGGGCAGCAGCGGCGGCTCTGGCGCAGGCGATCAAGAGGAGGAAGATGAGGTTGCGGAGCTTACCCGCAAGCTCGATGCAGCCATGCTTACACCTGAAGCGCGTAAAATGTGCGATCGAGAGCTAAAGCGCCTCGCGCGCATTCCGCAGCAAAGCGTCGAAAGAGGCGTCGTCATCACTTACCTCGAAACAATGGCTGAGCTTCCGTGGGACAAGACTTCAGCGGACCTCAGCCCGCAGCCCTCTGGACCAAAGGATGCCGCAGCGCCTTCTGCGATCACCGAAGTAGCAGACGTCGACGTGGGACGAAGCCCCATCAACGCACCAATCGAGGATGAGGGCATCGTCGAGAGGGCTCGTCGCATCTTGGACGAAGACCATTACGGCCTCGAGAAGATCAAGAAGCGTCTTGTGGAGTATTTGGCTGTACTCGAGCTCAAGACCTCGCAAGCTCAGGAGCGGATTGCTCGCGAGGAAAAGCTGGAGCGCGAGGAGCGCATCGCGAGCCGACGTGCCGAGAGGGCAGCCGTTGCCAAGAAACAATCGGCTGCTATCAATCAGGAGCTCGAAGAAGAAGGGGATTTCCAACACTTGGAGGAAGCTGCCGAAGAGGAGAAGAAGAGTAAGCAAGCTGTCGACGAAGCGCGAAGGAAACGTCGTCGGGCTCATGTAGCGGATAAGGGACCTATCCTGCTCCTCGTCGGGCCTCCAGGCACCGGAAAGACCTCGATCGCCAAATCCCTGGCGACCGCACTGAAGCGTCCCTTCACGCGCGTTTCGCTTGGCGGTGTGCGTGACGAAGCTGAGATTCGAGGACACCGTAGGACCTACGTCGGCGCAATGCCCGGAACGATCGCTTCGAGTCTACGCAAGGTCGGCGTGAGCGATCCGGTGCTCTTACTGGACGAGATCGACAAGCTAGGCAGTGGCAACGGTCTGCACGGTGATCCAATGGCTGCTATGCTCGAGACCCTCGACCCTGAACAAAACCATGCCTTCAACGATCACTACGTCAACTGCCCTATCGACCTGAGCCGCGTGCTCTTCATCGCCACGGCGAACACGTTGGACACAATTTCTCCCCCTTTGTTGGACCGAACGGAGGTCATCAATGTTTCTGGCTACACTCACGATGAGAAGGTCGCCATCGCACGCAACTACCTCCTTCCAAAGCAGACGAAAGCGCAAGGTCTAGTACCTGAGGATCTCGTAGTGGGAGACGACGTGCTACTCAAGGTCGCCATGTCTTACACCCGCGAAGCGGGTGTGCGCAGTCTCGAACGAGAAATCGGCGCGATCGCTCGTTCCAAGGCCGTCGAGTATGCCGAAGCCCGCAAAGGTGTCAAGGGCGAGGACGGCAAGCCCAAATCGTACGATCCGGTCGTTCGCGTCGAGGACCTGGAACGTATCCTCGGTGTCGAGACTTACGAGCCTGAGGTGGCCGAGTTGGAGTCCAGGCCTGGCGTGGCTACTGGTCTCGCTTACCAGGGCTCGGGAAGTGGTGGCATCTTACACATCGAATCGGTCCTGCTGCCACCAGACAACGGAGCCCTCAAATTGACTGGTAGTCTCGGTGACGTGATCAGAGAGTCCGCTGAATTGGCACTGTCCTGGGTCAAAGCTCACTCTTACCAGGTACGTGCGCGCTGGAAATATCCTATCCACGTCAGACCTTGACTGACTTCTTGCACAAACCGCCCTCATCAACAGCTTGGCATCACTCCGTCTCGCGATGCAGAATTCCCTAGGTAAGTCGAGACGCTTTAGACTTGATGGCCGAATTAGACTGACGTCCGCCGCCAATGTGTATAGAAACGGCGTTCACATTCATTTCCCGTCACTGTCCACACCGAAAGATGGACCATCTGCCTCTGTTGCACTGGTCCTCGCGCTCGTCACCCTTTTCACGCGCGTCTCATTGGACCCCAAGCTGGCCGTGACAGGCGAGATGGATCTGCGCGGTCGCGTCACACCTGTAGGCGGGATCAAGGAGAAGCTGATCGGAGCGCACAGAGCCGGCATCAAGCGCGTCATCCTCCCAGCAAGGAACAAGAAGGATGTGGTAGCGGACTTGCCGCAGAACGTCAAAGACGACCTCCGCATTCACTACGTTTCTAATGTCTGGAACGCGTTGGAAATCGCACTCGGAGAGAGCCTCTTTGCTCACGCCAATGGAGATGGCGTGGCCGAAGGAAAACGCATGATGGGCCTCGAGGACATCACCAGCCGTCTCTGAAAAATTCACTCAGACAGTCAGATCTTTTCACCCCAGCTCCCATCCTTGATCCAATCCAATGTCCTCTGTCTGCCTTTTTGAGTCTGCCTGCCTAGTCGATCCTTCTGCCTCGAGCTCTGCTTCATCGCTCCCATGCCTCCTCACGATACTCTGTTGTCTCGAATGCCCTCATTCTGTTTTGCAATCAATATACAGGTCTTGCTGCTGGCTGATGCTTGCTTGCTTCACACCCGCGTGCTGTCGGTTGTGACGAAGACTCATGCTATTCTGTAGTAGTTGATGACAACATGGAGGATATGATACCGCACTTGGCTTTGCAATTGTGGACGCCATGACTCAGCCGTATACGTCGAAAGTGCTTGCAGCTGCACACATTCATTGCGGAGGCAAAATGCTGATACCAAGGTCCGTGATTTTGCCGGTTGCGATGTTGTGGACCCAGCTATGGACAATTCGGCGCAGGGAGATCAGCAGGTGTTGCTTGCAAGGCATCGGAGGCGCATAGAACATACTCACCCATGAACTTCAACCTTTTTGCTTGCTTCTCCGGGGAAAGCGCTCTTCTTTCCTGCCCAGTTGGCCTTGATAACATCAGACTCTACAATGTTTTCCATCTGCTGCTTTACGCTGCGCTCAGTGATGAGCTGTACGAGTTCTGCCTCGCTAAGACCTTGGGCTTCTGGCGAGGCCCTGATCTTGTCGGCCAAGCTGATCAGAGGGGTGAGATAGCGAGCCAGAGGAGCCGAAGGGAGGTCTTGCTTTGATGCGGCGCACTGTAGAGATGCTGCCACACCGCCGCATGAGGTGTGTCCGACAACGACGACTGAGGGCAAGAGCAAAGTAGAGCGAAGCCCAAGCAGATCAGTTTGTATTGGTAGAGAGCAGTCGAGCCACATCCTTCGCTGCTGGCTGACAAAAGCATGCTAGAAGCCCAGACCAGGGCCTCTCACCCCGACGCTCTCTCTTTGCAACATCACTCACTCTGCTCCACGCCCAAGGCCTCGACTGCGTACGTTAGAACCGAGTTGGCAGAGTCATCCTTGGGGTTGAATTGTCCAGCAATGTTTCTGTGCACAAAGAGTTCACCAGGCGCAGTTTGGCAGACGACGCCTTCAGGAACTCTGCTATCGCTGCAACCGATCCAGAGTACCTTGGGTGATTGACCTTGCGCGTTCGCTTTGAACTCTTCGATGTGCGCTGGACCGTACGACGAGACCCAAGAGTCGTTGCGGGACAGGATGGTAGCCAGTGTCGTCGTCATTTTGGGAGGCTCGGATTCTTTGGATACGATGGGAGTGGTGTGAAGACTTCTGCTCGGCTTGCGACTCTGCAGCGAGCTTCTAGCGATTGAGTCGGGTGCTTTGCTGCAGCACGTACGAGCGGATTGAGCGTGAATGCTAGCAGGTGCCAGACTCTTGAACGCTTGCGAGGCTACACGTGCGTGTGACCTCAGAACGAGTGGGTTCCGTTGGAAGACGGGAGTAAAGACGACCGAGGTGGGTGACATTAACTGCGATTCTTGAATAAGAGTCGGGTTGCGGCTGATGTGGTGGGAGAGAGCAGACGCTTTGAATGCCGGTGGCATGCAATGAGGAGAGGGGTCTGGAAAGGGCAATGCAATGTGCAGTGCAGTCTGAGTGTCATGCAGTAGTAGCGAAATGAGGCACAGCGCCAAGGCGCGCCGCCTTGACCTCTTCCGGGGGGGGGGGGCCAACCGGCCGATGCGCACGACATTTTC